TGCTTGACTGTTTTCCTTTCTGTATGTTCTCACTGCTCTGAACAAATTTATTCTTAGACTAAAGTTTTTCTACAGACAAAAGGCCGGCGGAAGACGTGTTGGGGGGTCTACTCTGGAAAGGCCTCATAGCGTCCTGCTCGGTTACAGAGATACCACCATCTCTTACCAATGGCAGGGTCTGGATTTGACTTCAACATTCTGGACATTTTTGGCGTCTTCTGTATATGAGATGTGTATGTATAGTCTTCTGCATATGAACCCATTGCTCTTTTTCTTCCTCCTTTCTTCTTTCCTCAACCATGCATTTTGCATTTCTACCTGTGGAATCACACTCAACTTTCTCCACAGTGATAGTTCCAAATTTATCCAATTCATACAAGCATCTTACTCTCACAGAACCTTCTTATTTTTTCTACCACTTATGACAAGTGTAGGTGATGGCAGGTGACACACGAATACTGAAGAAATAAGGATCGATTTCAAATGCAGTTTAAAAAAAAGCAAAACATGTTCTTATATATTTGGAGATTTCCATGATTGAGAAAAGCAGTGAAACAATCCTTATATCAGAAAGCCATTAGGCAAGCTCCATTCCTTTCCTCAAATACAGGCCTTCTGAATAAAAGGCCAGCAATGTTTGTTGCTAATCTGGACTCTCAGGTTAAGGGGCATAGGTGTGAAGTCAATGGATGGTTGAAACCTGCTTCTTCTGAGGTCTTCCTCCTTCTGTTTCCCTTGGGATAATCAGCCCACCTCTCCTTTGCTTTCAATTTATTATTTTTTAATTTAATTTTTATCTTCTATTGAAGCAACTCACTCCGGCATTCACGCTTAGAAAATTCCATGGACAGAGGAGCCTGACAAGCTACTGTCCAAAGGGCCGCAAAGAGTCAGATGCAACAGCATGAGCACACAGACAGTTGATTTACAATGTTGTGTTAGTTCCAGATAACAACAAAGGGATTCTGATATATATATTCTTTTCCTGGTTCTTTTCCCATATAGATTATTACGGTCCCCTGTTTTAACGGGCTTCCCAGATGTCACAGTGCTAAAGAATCTGCCTGCAATGCGGGAGACCTGGGTTTGATCCCTGGGTTGGGAAGGTCCCCTGGAGAAACGAATGGCTTCCCACTCTAGTGTTCTTGCCTGGAGAATTCCATGGACAGAGCAGCCTGGTGGGCTACAGTCCATAAGGTCTCAAAGAGTCAGACACAAATGAGCTATTGAGCACACACACACAGGCTGTATAATAGGCCTTATGTTTGTCTGTTTTATATGTAGTAGTGTGTATATTTTAATCCCAAACTCCCAGTTTATCCCTCTCCCTTCCTTTCCCGTTTGTTAACCATAAGATTATTTTCTGTGTCTGAATCTGTTTCTATTTGTAAATAAGTTCACCTGTATCATCTTCTTGAATTCCACATGTAAGTGATATCATATGACACTTGTCTTTCTCTTTCTGACTTACTTCACTTAGTAGGATCACTTTTAGTCCATTTATGTTATTGCAAATGTCATTATTTCATTCTTTTATAGAGCTGAATAATATTCTTGCTTCTTTTTTTAAAATCTTGGCTTTTCTACAAATTCCCCCTGCATCAGCCATGGAGTCAGCACGAATGAGATTCTCTGTTGTTAGGAAATTTGGCTGCTTTTTGCATTTTAGGGAGGAGGTATATGATTCCAGAAGGTATTTTAGGTCTGATATAATAAGAGTTATGTATTAGGTCTATGTTTCTGCATTTTAGGGAGGAGGTATATGATTCCAGAAGGTATCTTGGGTCTGATATAATAAGAGTTATGTATTAGGTCTATGTTTCTGCATTTTAGGGAGGAGGTATATGATTCCAGAAGGTATCTTGGGTCTGATATAAAAAGAGTTATGTATTAGGTCTACGTCCCTGGCTCCTGACAGTGCTCCTAAATCCTCTGGATTCTGTGGGTGACAGGAATCTCTTTTGTTCTAGGGAGGCTACTCTTGGCAGGCGCATAGACAGAGTAAAGATGGAGGGGGTCACCATAGTGAGAGGGTGGAAACATTCAGTACCACCCCATCCCCACCACCAATGGAGGAGGGGGACCGGAGACTTGGGTTCATCACAATGGCCAGTGATTTAATCAACCAGTGATGTCCTGGAATCTCCATGAAAACTCCTAATCAATAGGGTTTGGAGCACTTTCAGATTGGTGATGGCATCACTGACTCGATGGACATGAGTTGGAGCAAGCTCTGGGAGTTGGAGATGGACAGGGAAGCCTGGCGTGCTGCAGTCCATGGGGTCGCAAGGAGTCAGACACGACTGAGTAGCTGACCGAGCACATCAGGCTGCTTGGAGAGCCACGCCCTTGAGGGAGTGGGGGTGGGGGGGGACGCCCCCCCCACTCCCTCCCCCTGCCCACCCTGTCTCTCTTCTATCTGGTTGTTCCTGAGTTGCATCCTTCATGTTAAACTTGTAGATGCAAATGAAGTAACTTCCTGAGTTCTGTAAGCTGTTCTGGCCAACAGTGAATCTTGACATGAGAGTGATGGGAACCCCAATATATAGCAGGTCAGGCAGGAGGACAAGGGGCCCAGGGCTGGTAGTGAGGTGAGGGTGTTTGCGGGACTGAGCCCTTAACATGTGGGGTTGGGTGCTAACTCCAGGCAGGGGCTGTCAGACAGGTGGAAAACACTCCATGTTTTTGGTGCCAGGAGGAAAACCCTTTCTTCATTTGTGGTCAGCAGTGTCATAAGAAAAAACAGATTTCTTGGCATCAGGATGTTAGGTGTGTCCAGATGGATCTGGGATTTTCTCAGCGCTAACTGGAGGTGCCTGTTATCGGGAGATGCTAGCTGGTCCCAGGGCCAGCAGTGATCTGTGCGCTGCATCCTGACACTGGGTTGGTTATGAAGATGTTGCGCAGATGGGTTAGGCTGCACAGTGCAGACCTCCAGAAACTTCCCCACACTGGGCTGTTTGGGGATTGTCTGACTAGGGTCAGGGTCCAAGACTCTACCCTGGGAGGCGAAGATGGGCTTTTCCCAGAAGGGACTGAAAGCTCCTCACTGCCAGTTATCCTGAGAAATGGCTTATCTGGGGAAGAGACAGCACACTTGGCATTGAATGGCCAAGAGTGGGAGTGGTCCATGCCCCAGACCTCATGCAGAAAAGTCACTAGGCCACTTTCCCATCTGTAAAGTGGGGACAGTAGTGGATACCTTTAAAATAAGTGTTAAATAATATTAAAATATTTACCACATAGAGAACATGCCATGAGGGTGTGCGTTAAATTAACTGGGAGGACGTATGTCCTTCTGTTCCTAGGCTGGGTGATTTGGGGTTTGGTCACTGAGCTATGGAGATGCCTAGAGAGGTCAGCGGTGGGGGGAACTGCCACGAGTTAGCTAGAAATGAGCCAGAAGTGGGCAAGCTGCAGTCTGTCCTGGGTCTACCCTCCAGCGGAGGTGTGAGATTCCCTGACACAGAGATCCCCAGTCAGTGGGGACCTCTTCCTTCATCCACCAGCTTCCTGCTCCCTCTCTGTCGAGGTCACCCAGCAGCATCTCTGCTGTCACCTGCTGCCCCGCCTCCTGCCTCAAACCCACATCTGAGTCATCTTTCCAAAGCGCGTCTGTGGATCGGCGGGCTGGAACCACTCCCAAAGGCTGAGGGCTGTGGCTGCGCGGGTGACTCAGCCCCACGTAGGGGGCCCTGCAGCACTCTTAACTCCAGAGCGCACTCAGGGCCAGACAGCCTCACTGTACAAGGCAGGCACCTCGGCCTCCACACTGTGATCCGAGCGCAGACCACCACCCTCTGCCGCTCCGAATGTGGTGGCAGCAGTGGGTCCCAGTGGCCCATCCCCATGCTGTGATGGAGGCCAGGTCTGTCCACTGATGGGCAGAGAACAAATGACCTGACCAAACGAGATAGGGACCACATGGCATCTGACGTACTTCCAGATTTCAAGAAAACAGATAATTCAGTTACATGCACGTAGATCACAGACATCTTTAAAATTCAAATAGCCCTAAGAATTCAAGGTCCCATTCTGAGAGTGTTTTTGACAATTCTGTAGTCTCCAAAGAATAAAAACTAGTCTTGGAATTAAAATATACGTGTTTCTAAGAACAACAATAGTTTCAAATAAAGATCAGTTATTTGGACAAAAACTGCATCTTCCTGATACTTGTGTGTAAAGAGAATCTTCAGGTGTCTATTAGTCATGATACCACAGGGCAGGTGGACTAATCAGATGAGGAGACCAAGACCCCAGAAGTCTTTCTCCCACACCAGCAGAATTTGGTCTCTGGCTGTGTCTTGATTCTAAACTTACTGGTATTTCTTTAGAAGTTGAAGTCATTTCCAAATAAAACTCACATGTTGCTCTTAACATCTAGAAGTGACTGACACATACTGCACGCATGTGTGCTCAGTTGCTGTAGTCACACCCAACTCTTTGAGATGCTACGGACCGTAGCCCGCCAGGCTCCTCTGTCCAGGGGATTCTCCAGGCAAGAATTCTGGAGTGGGTTGCCATGCCCTCCTCCAGGGAATCTTTCCGACCCAGGGGATCAAACCTGCGTCTCCTGCGTCTCCTGCATTGGCAGGCAGGTTCTTTACCACCACCACCACCAGGGAAGCCCATCAGATATATACTAGGCACTCCCTAAATGCTTGTTGACTAAATGAATGTCATTTAAAAATATCCAGGAACATCATATCCTTAGCTGTTTTGAAAGGATAAGTCCATGTTATACCAATCGATTTCCTATGGTATAGAACAGGATGCTCACCAGACATAATACTCATAACACTTCACATTGTTTATTGAGCATTAAGCCACATGACAGAACAATTTAAATACCACAGGAATAAATCCTATAATCATAGATCGCCCTGGATGATATTTCAATAAGGCTTTACCTCACTGACAAGTTCAAAGACATGGAAACATGATTTTTTAATCAACAGAAGTCACAGCCAAATAATGAATAAAAGCTATATTCACTGAGGTTAACTTGTAGCAAATAATATTTCTTCATTGATGAGTGGCTGAAAAGGTGCAATCATGGGATTCTTTCTGGATAACTCTGGGGAAAGATTGAAGGTAGGAGGAATAGGGGATGACAGAGGATGAGATGGTTGGATGGCATCACCAGCTTGATGGACATGAGTTTGAGTAAACTCTGGGAGTTGGTGATGGACAGTGAAGCCTGGCGTGCTGCAGTCCATGGGGTCACAAAGAGCCCTGAACTGAACTGGAGAAGAAGCAGGTGCCACATACAGGCTGGGTTCCGAGGAGCTGGGCTGATACATAGTTTCCTCTCATTCCAGTCTTCAGATAATTTCAATTTTTGATCTCTACAGGGGAAAAAAAAGAACAGGAACATAGGGCTATATTTTAAAAATGTGAAAGTCAGAATTTTGTATACTCCTCGGAACACAGAGAAGGAATATACTTTTCCATCTGTGAAATAGAAAAGAGTTTGAACTGGAAGAAATGAGCTTTTATTGCCAATCTGGCTTCTCTATGATTGTTGTTGTTTTGTTGCAAAGTTATGTCTGACTCTTTTTTTTTTTTTTAATTTTTTTTTTTTATGTCTGACTCTTTTGCAACCCCATGAACTGTAGCCCACCAGGTTTCTCTGTCCATTGGATTTCCCAGGCAAGAACACTGGAGTGGGTTGCCATTTCCTTCTCCAGGAGATCTTCCCAACCCAGGGATCAAACCAGGTTTCCTGTGTCTCCTGCACTGACAGGCAGATTTCCCACGGAGTCACCTGGGAAGCCCCTTCTCTATGATACATGTTATTAATGTCACCTAGAATCTTGGCCCCATTTCCTACCTTATGTAAAATAGGGATAGTTCCTTCTTTCCTACAGAACTGTGACCATTGCATTTGTTGTAATTTACATAAGCACAAGGGGCTTCCTCCGTGACTCAGTGGTAAAGAATCTGCCTGCCAATGCAGGAGACAGGGGGTTGATCCTTGGGTTGGGAAGATCCTCTGGAGGAGGGCATAGCAACCCACTCCAGTATTCTTGCCTGGAGAATCCCATGGACAGAGGAACATGATGCACTGCAGTCCATGGGGATCACAAAAAGTCAGACATGACTGAGCACGTTAACATAAGCACAAGTAAAACCAAAGTATTAAGATTTTCATCACTCTAATTAATCTGACTAAAACATATATGCATTGTGATTTACTATTGTATCCTCCACTTAAAAAAATTTTCCTTTTCGTTACCTTTGGAATTGGTAGCAAGTATCGTGAAGGACAGAGAAGCCTGGTGTGCACAGTCCAGGGGGTCACGGAGCCAGACATGATTTAGTGGCTGAACAGCAAATAATGACTCCACATGGGCTTCCCAGGTGGCGCTAGTGGTAAAGACTCCTGCCTAGGCGAGAGGCATGAGACCTGGGTTCAGTCTCTGGAGGAAAGACCCCTGGAGGAGGGCATGGGAGCCCACGTCAGCATTCTTGCCTGGAGAGTCCCCATGGACAGAGGAGCCTGGCGGCTGCAGTCCATGCAATCACAAACAGACACGACTGCAGTGGCGTAGCACGGACACACGCATAATTACTCCAGAGTCACTGTTACTTCTGTCAGAGCCCTGCCTCTGCTTCAGATGAGTTTTCTGAGCTAGTCTCCTGTGTTCTTCCAGGCATAGGGGAATAAGGCATGATAAGATACACAAACATAGAGTCGCAGAAATGTTCCTCTAGAGTGTTTGCCTGTGTGGTTTTGTTTTGAATTTATCTTATTCCCCCCACATACACACACACCCCCACCACACACAGAGATGCTTATTGTGGAGCAGTGGAATGATCTGGAACTAAAGGCCTCTTCCCAACACCTTCCCAAGATGCTCAAGCTCTAACTGGGGTGTTGCTCCCTGAAGGGTGATCCCTCAGCTTATGAGCAGCAGACCTTCAGGAAAGGGGTTTGCTGAGCCAGGAGAAGGACCTGATATTTCAGGACACACCCTGAAAGAGGCATGTCTCTGACCCTGGGACGGACCTCTCACGTAAATTCAATGCAATATTTAACTTCCAATTTTTTGAGGACTACACAGCAGTTCCCAACATTTTCAGCACTAGGGACTGGTTTTGTCAAGGATAATTTTTCCATGAACCATTTGTGGGGGGATGGTTTCAGGATGATTCAAGTGTGTTTCATTTATTGTCCACCTTATTTGTATAATTATTATATTAGCTCCACCTCAGATCATCAGGCATTAGATCCTAGAGGTTGAGGATCACTGCACTATAGTATTAATATCTCAGGTACTCATAGTTAAAATTAAGAGCCCAGAAGATCAAGTTGTATGCACTCAGAAAACTAATTCCATCACACATTTAGGTTCTGCATCCCCCATGGGTGTTGACAGATGGGCACAAAGCAGAAAAAGAAAGAAAGAAAAGTTGGAATGAGGATGCAATGGCTGGAGTATGAACAACCATTTTGGGCCATGAGACAGGTGTTCTATGTTGATGCTAAAAATAGCAGGGAAGCAAGAAGGAAGGATCCTGGGATCCTGATGATTCTTAAAGCCCCACTGTTGCCCCTTGATTGCCTTTCTTTAAACTCTTTCTAGAGAGATATAAATCTCTTATTTGTTTAAACAATATAAAAAAAGAAAAGCTGAAGCTCCTACCACCCACCTCCCCCAAGTGGGGCAAAAGGAAGAAGAAAGAAATCAAGGTGGTGGGAAAACTCCAATGGAATGACATTCATAAAATAACCTAATGCGAAGGCTCTGAAGACCCTTGCAGTTCAACAGACATCATTCCAAATTGTTTCAATGCTGTGTTTGTGAGATGCTTTTCTTACAAGTCACCTGCCCACTGTCTTCAGGGTTTCTATAACTGATGCACAATAGTTTAACATTTTCTTTCTCTAAATCAACATGAATGTGTCCTTCCTGACAGCAAACCAGCCGTCATGTCAAATTCCTTTTTGAGTGTTTTCACTCATTTTCATTTATCTACCATTTGCCAATTTATAAGTTGCTATAACTGTAAGCTGGGGGTAACACTGGAGAAAGCTGAGGGGATATTATAGAGATGTATGACTGATAGTGTCAAATAAAAGAGTACAAAGTAGAAATCTATCGAAGTTTCTCAAGACTCCCTATGTGGTATGTTCCTACTTCTCTGGGCCAGACAGGGCTGGCTCTATCTCCCTCTTTTAGGGTGGAGGGACTTCTCCCCACAGGGTGGCTTACCTGCCGTTCCCTCCCCCGGTGCTCTTAAAACCTTGGCCGCCATCTCCTGGATGTGCTCCCAGGCCCGCTGCACATGGGCCAACTCCACCGTGCGTGAGCAAATGGCAAAACGCAGCACGAACTGGTCTCTCAGGGAGCAAGGAACCAAGTGGATTTTTTTGGCACTGTTTATGCTTTCCAGAAGAGCTTCGTTCAGTTTGTTGGAAGCCTGCAGTTTGAGAGAGGCAGCACTCAGATCTTTGGAGGCTCAAACTTGTATCACGACGTGAGGTAGGTGCTGGGTGATGCAGTCCCCGGTCAGCGGGAGAACCGCCTCACCACAGGCTTTTCATTTGCAGTCATAAAAAATTCAACTAAGTAATCGTTATGTGGGCCTGAATGAGGGCTGCCTCCCGTGTACAACAATTTGCTCATGTTCCAGTGTGCTGTCAAAAGATGAACCTTCTGTGACCCAGGTTTACAAAGAAGAAATGAAGGTTCCTAGATGTGTTACCTGTAAGTTGATGAGCTTAAGCAGCAGAACTGTATAATGGCACCAGTGAATGGAAATATACAGAAGAAATCTCACAATACAGTAAGTCTCCTGCGTAGGAGCCTTGAAGTTGTGAAATTTCAAAGATGAGAGTGTGCGTTCACATGTGCAGTCACATCAGCGTGTCCGGTGCAGCGGGTCACGTGCCTGCATCCTCTGCAAGCTGCGCTCTTGGGTCGTTTACTGCACAGTCGCGGGTAGAGTGCAGTGGGTGAGTGAAGTGAAAGCCGCTCACTCGTGTCCGACTCTCTGCGACCCCGTGGACTCTACAGCCCAGGGAATTCTCCAGGCCAGAGTACTGGAGTGGGTAGCCGTTCCCTTCTCCGGGGGATCAGAGTACAGTAGGGAGGTATCTTTATTTCGTGCCCAGGAAGTCTGGAAGCGAGCATAAAAGCAGTGATGCTATGCCTGGTCCTACTGTGCTATTCGAGGTACTGTACTATACGATCAAAAATGCTTTCTCTATTTTTGTTTACTTTTTAATGTAATATTTGTGTGAAAAGTATTACAAACCTATTATAGTACTCTATACCGATTGTGTTAGTTGGGTACCTAGGCTAATTTCACTAAACCTGCAGACAGACTAAACTTAACGAATGCCTTCTTGGAATGGAACGACTTCCTATGTAGGCAATTGCTGTGTAGAAAATGGAGTGTAATAGGCAGCTTCTGGCTAGACTCTTGGAAAACTGTCCTCGAACTGTGGACCAGAGGCCCATCAGTGGCCCTGCTCTGGAGGGGCGCAGCCCGCCAGCCTTGGACGGGGAGGCTGGGGGCCCCACACCAAGAGGCGCAGGTGGAGGGCATGCGTCACACAGACTGGGAGCCGTGCCCTCCCGTCTGCTCAGGCAGGTTACCCTTCTCGTCCTTGCCCGCCTCTGTCTTGGTTCTGTCCTCAGGCAGGGACTCCACCCCCACACGCCTCATGCTTGATGTAGAAGGGCCTGGACGCGGGGCCAGCGTCCTGGGTCGCATGACCCGCAGTAGACTGTACTATTCTCGCTCGGTCTTGAGAGCAGGGAGGACAGTGGGAAGAGAGATGTCCTGGTCGGCCGGAGGCAGGACCCGGGCCTCAGGTCTGTGCAGAGTCTGCAGGTCGCCGACTGGCATGAGGCTCTGACCAGTGGCCCGTGGACAGTGTATGGGCCCAAGGCCACCTAGAAACTGCTGCTGCATCAGATCCAGTTAGAGCAGGTTCTGCTCCAGGATGAGGGCGAGGAGGTGGAAATGACAGTTTGAAAGGATGGAACTTCACCAGAAAGAGTTAATGGAAGAGCAAATGCCTGAAAGTGCCATAGGCAGGAAATAAAAGCAAGCAACTCAGGAAAACTTTGCTTAACATTTTCAAATGGATCAGACAAATGTTTTCTACTAAACAGAGGCAAAGACAGAAAACAGCCTGAGGTGTAACAACGGTAGCAACAGCAGACTTGACCTCCAGAGCAGACGGCAACAGGGCAAAGGAAAACATAACAAGATAGCAGATACGGAGGCAGGAAACGAGCGATAATGCCTGGACAACTTGCCTCCTCAAGGAGAAACTGGATTCACGGAATAGAAGTAACAAGTTTCACAGAAGAAACGTTTTGCTTTCTGAGACGCCCCTGGGCACCCAGGGCAGGAAGGGACATGCGGGTAGCTTTGCCCAAGTAAATGGGGAGGAGAAAATAAAAGTCTTGACTTTGACAATGTGATGCTCATTGAAAGAAGCCGGTCACAGAAGGTAGCACAGTGATGGTCCCATTAACATGAATGTCTGGAGCAGACAGGTCCACACAGACAGAAAGGAGATCCGTGGCCCCAGGAATGGGGCTGGGGCTTCCTTGAGGGAGAATGAAGATGTTCTTAAGCTAGATTGTGGGGATAGCCATGCAACCCTGGGGACAGGCTAGACATCACTGAAATGTATAGTTTATATGGACAGAGTATATGGTATATGGATTACAGCTCAATAAAACTGCTAAAATTTAAAAAAATTAAAATCCATCAAGAAAATTGGTGGTAAAAACAAAAACAACTGCTTGATGGCAAAAACATCACATCTATTGGCTGCCAGCACCAGCACAGACTAAATCGCGCCCACTGCTCACCCTGTGGGGCCCTGCTCCTGGCGCCAAAGCTGACCACTGCCCTCTGTGCTCAGGTGTCTGTGACGCTCTGCCCTCTGTGCTCAGGTGTCTCTGTGTGAGCCTCTCATCTCCCTGCCAGGTCTAGTGTCACGACTCTACTCTCTTGCCTCCAGGTTTTTATGCGTGGTTCTCACCAGCCCTGAAAGCCTGTGTAGTCAGTGTGAGGAGGAAAGGGTAAGACCAGGGCCACGTTTGGATGGGCAGCACCTTGACAATCGGTGAGTCCATCAGGCCTTCTACTGCCTCCCTTTGTGGACTTGGACACGCAGGCCTGTGGATAGGATTGGCTCTGCAAATGGAAAGCTAGCCAGAGAGTGGTCAGGGTGTTAGGGCTAAGCTACTGGCTTCCTCCACATGAGGCTGGTTGATAAGGGCCTGTGTGAGCAGTGCTCTTTGGGTTTGTGGAAAACATGGTTGTGATTCTCAGCAAAGGTGGCTGATACCCTCAGGCAGCAGAACGACAGAGCCCGCGGGAGCAGCACCCCTCAAACCCCTGTTCCACCAGCAGCTGGGGGCATATGGGGTGCGAGTCAGCGGGTCCTGAGTGAGCTGAGCCTGGCTCCTCACAGGCTCTGGGTGATGCTGTGCCAGTCCAGGGACCATGAGCCCTGGAGCGTGCGCATGGGTCAGTCCTTCAAGGATTCCAATGCTACAGCTGGATTGATGGAGAAAATGGCCAGCATCCTCCCATCAGGTACACACGGGCAGGGAGTCCGAGTACCAGGGAGAAGGGCGGGAGTTGTGAGAAGTCAGGGTGGGGAGGTGGGAGCAGCAGACTGGAAAACTGGTGGGGAGCAACACAAGGTCTCTGGGGAGCTCAGTCGATGTATGGATGGATGTAATGAATGACAGCTTCCTCTCCCCAGTCAAGAAAATGCAGACAATGAAGTCGACTTAGACATACCTTTAGCCGGAAACAGACAAGTCCCAGAGTGACTTCTGCACAGATTTCAAAGCGGGTGTCCTGGCGCACCAATGCCTCAAACGCATGGGACAGCTGGACGTGCTGGAAAGGGAAGGGACATTTGTCTGAGTCTCTTGTCACGACTTGATTCACAACTTCACCGCCTAGAGAACAGTATCAGACCATGCGTCTGTAACTCATTAGCATGCCTTAGCCATTTTCTTCCAACATTGATGTCACCCATGCCCCGCTGTCCCCACAGAGGGTGAGAAACTCGTTACCAGGAGAAAGGGGCCACCATCTTTAGAAAAACACCACTTGTCATCTGCTCAGAAGACCGTGTTCATCACACCCAATCTTTTAGAATTTTAGGCTAAATGTTGTCAGGAGGGATTTAAACTTTTCAGAAGAGAGGTGGCGCTAGTGGTAAAGAACACGCCTACCAATGCAGGAGACGTAAGAGACGTGGGTTTGATCCCTGGGAGGGAAGATCCCTGGAGGCGGGCATGGCAACCCATGCCAAGTGTTCATACCTGGAGAATCCCCGTGGACAGAGGGGCCTGGCGGGCTGCAGTCCATGGGGCTGCAGAGTCGGTCAGAGCTGAGCACGAGCACACTCACGCTGAAGAGAGATGTGGGCGCCAGCTGGGGAGCCGCGCACTTCGCCATACTGCCCTGGTGCTGGCCCACGATGTAGGGGCCTGCGCAGTCACTCAGTCAAGTCTGACTCTCTGACCCAAGGACCGTAGCCCGCCAGGCTCCTCTGTCCATGGGATTCTCCAGGCGAGAACACTGCGGTGCTGGAGTGGGTTGCCATTTCCTCCTCCAAGGGATCTTCCTGACTCAGGGGACCAACCTGCATCTCTTGCATCTCCTGCACTGACAGCTGCATTCTTTATTATTAGCGCCACCTGGGAAGCCCAATAACACCATAATCATGCCCATTCTGCAGACCAGGAGACTGAGGCTGGTTCTATCGCAGGTGCCCAGCACCAGAGCTCCCGCTCTGCGGCTGTTTGTTATCCCATAGCATCTGCCGCCACAGTGAGACTCTCGTCAGCCCCAGGCTGCCTCCTCTCTCTGATCCAGCCCATACTAAACATGGAGGTGATTACAGAGACCAAGAGCTGATTCACACAGTATGTGATCTGAGAACCAGCTCGCCCAGGTCTCAGTGCCCATAGAGCTCATCTGGACCCCTGGCATCCAGTGTGGGGCTCACTGACAGGTGTCCAGGGGGCATCTGAGCAGAGGTTGCATTGCTCAAAGTGTTGGGACAGAAACGTTATTTATTTATTTTTTTTGAATATAATTGCTTTACAGTGTTGTGTCCGTTTCTGCTGTAAAACAAAGTGAATCAGCCATATGTATACATGTACCCTCTCCCTCTGGAGCCCCCCTCCCTCCCCACCCTGCACCCCACCCCCCGGGTCAGCACAGAGCCCCGAGCTGACCTCCCTGCACTGTACAGCGGCTTCTCCCCCGCTGTCTGTTTACACGTGGTGCTGCGTACACGTCAGCCCTGATCTCCCAGTTCGTCCCACCCTCCCCTCTCCCCACTGTCCACTTGACCGTTCTGTCTGTATCTCTATTCCCGCCCTGCAAATAGGTTCCTCTGTACCATTTTTCTAGATTCCATATGTGTGAGAAACTCCACGATTTAAATGAGGGGTCCCCAGGCAGTGATGAATCTGGTGCCACTAGAGGGCTCCAGATACTCCTGGCAGGGGGTCCCCTCACGCTGGATCCTGGGGAGCTGGACACCTGCTGGGGTGTATCTGGCTCCTAGGAGGGCAGGGTCGGTCCCTCCAGGGGAATCACGAAGCGCTTTTCAGGAAGCAGCGACATGATCACCGCCAGCTTCCCGGAGCTTCCAGCTGGAATCACCCTCGTGAGATTCACTACTTGTGCTTCGCCTTCCTTCCCCAGAGCAGCTGAATCCTCATTCAGCCTTTGAGCACAGGCTCCCCACGGGGAGAGCTTACATGTCCCTTCCCAGTTCTCTGCCCACAGAGATGCTCCAGACCCTCTACAGCCCCCCCTAGCAGCCTCGTGAGCTGGATGGGTGCCGGTGAGTGTGGCGCCGTGGGGCCCCGAGCCACCGCCTGCTGCCATGTGCTCCATCACAGGGAAGGGCCCGGAGCCATTCGCCCTGCCCGCAACTGCCCAGCACTGTCACCAAAGTGAGACTCTGCGGGGCTGCCCCGCACCCGGGCCATCTGAGGGCCTCTGTCCACCAGGGTGGGGCCACAGCTGAGGACGCCAGGACGGGAGGCCTGGCTGGAAATTGGCAGGCCGTCCACAGCCAGCTAAGTGAGCGGGTCTCCTCTGGCCTGTTTCCTCAGCTGTTAGAAAGAAAAAAAAAAACCAAGCAGGGCACACACACTGCTATTGGAGAAGGAAATGGCAGCCCACTCCAGTACTCTTGCCTGGAGAATCCCATGGACAGAGGAGCCTGGCAGGCTGCAGCCCCTGGGGTCACAGAGAGTCGGACACGACTGAGCCGCTTTAACTCATCCACCCTGCTCTGCGCTGCGCTTAGTCGCTCGGTTCCCTGTGCCCTGCTTGACAACATCGTACTTCATCTCTCAGGTCTAAGACCTCCCTAATGTCACCTGGATAAATAATGACAGCAGACTCACCTTGCGGATATAGGCCTGCAGTCCCTTGACTCCATACATCCTGAAAACAAACCACATCTTCAAAGAGCGGAACCTCCGGCCCAGCGGCAGCTGCCAGTGCTGAAATCAGACACAAGACAGCAGCTCGTGAGGACTGTGCCAAGGGCCGGCTTCCTTTTTGACTCAAGGACTGACTTGTTTCTCCTGAAGGCAGTTAGCTCCCTGGAGACCAACCCTTCTGGCTGCCACAGGGCAAAGCTGACAGCAGGGGCGTGAGCGGCGCAGCCAGAAACTCTCTTTACAAACCTCCGAGGTGCTTGCGGAGTGCGTGCAGGGCCCAGACCAGTGTTGGGCTCAGGTGCCATTGTGCGCAGACGGGGTGGTGTGGCCCTGCCCCGCGGGCTTACAACCCCGGAGGGGTGGGAGGGGAATGTTCCCTGATTTCTCTGCCTACAGGAAACAAGCAGGGGGCAGCAGATACCCGCACCTCTGCTGCACGTGCCCCGTGACGCCCATTCTCGAGAGCAGCATGCATTTTCTTCCTGCCCCGCAGGCCACCATGGAGCAACCTGCCAGATGCCGTCACCAGGAAACGCACTCATCAACGCGTAGGACGCCGCGCGAGCCTCCCTGAGCTTTCCTGCATCTGTCAGCTGCCCGGCTGTGACACTCCAGTGGCTGTCCAGGTGCCAAAGCGAGCAGGAGTGGACACAGAGGGGAGGTGGTGCAGGGACGTTTGGGAAGATCGAGATGGGAGCATCCCGATTTTACACGGTCACTTCCTACTGGAGCTTCTGAAGGAGATGGGGGCACAGGGGGTGTGTCTCCGTCTCTGCTGGCTGCCCACAGAGCCCAGAGACGAGCTTCCTGCTGGGCGTGGGACAATGCCACTCGGGGTTGGGGTGCAGGGTGGCTGCGCGAGGGGCACAGCAGGCTTGGGGGCACTGCTGCTCTAGGGAATGCACCCCTGGCCATGGCACCCCACTTCTGAACTGCAGTGAAACCACCAGGGGTTCTGCAGAAGCTTCTCGAGTTGCAGAGAGAAACACGGGCCCAAGATTGAGGTTCAGAAGCACCCAGGACAGTGTCACTGCTGTTTGCAGCAGGCGCTGTGTGGATGCGCGGGCCACCTCACTTTATCTTCCTAACCGCACTGGGAACAGAGGTTAGTAGCTCTGTTTTATCAGGGAGAAAGCAGGCATCTAGGGGCTAGTGATGCACAAGCCCCAGTCGTGCCCACTGACACCCACTGTCCTCTATGTAGCTGGGTGTTTGCAAGCTGTTGGGGAGTCTTAGTAAAAATTAACCTCATGTGCCTTTTTGGAAAATCTACTGTCACCCCACTAAGTAACTAACTAACCAGACAATAACTAACTTACTAACTAGCACAGTGGTCCCTTGCTTACAGGATGCTGCACTCCAAAATTATTCCTCCCCGGCAGCCTCCGAGAAAGTAAAATGTGAATGAAATCTAACACTGGAAAGAATAGCAAGGGAAAATTACTTTCTAAGGCATGAGGGTAAACATGCAGGCAGTTTAACTGTGTTCATTCCAGTGTCACCCTAAAGTGCTGTCACTACCTCTCTGGGGCCTGAGGCAGGACTGGGCCAGCTTCCCCAGGAGCAGAGCCTGTGCACCGTCTTTTCCCCCAGCCCTGACCAGACGGGAGGGTGGAGAGGAGAGGCCTGCTCCCGTTAGCCACCTTACTCCCAGTTTCGCTCAGAGCAGCGGCCAGAGCAGCACCGTGCTCCTGCCTGGGGATGGAGGCTGGACGCGAATGCTGCCATCGGCACACGTCTTATGTCCTCTGACCCTTGTCCTCCCACTGCCCTGGGAACGGCGGCTCCTGGCACACAGCCTGAGCGTGGAGCAGAGGGGCCACGTGATCCGGGGAGAGTTCTCTACCTCACAGCAGAATACAGGCACGGGCAGCATCATTCCATCCAAGCCTCAGACCTGCTGTCAGTGCTCAGCGCAGCTGCCCACTGCCTGGCCAGAGTGCTAGTTAGGACCCAGCTGGAGGTGTCCTCTGTAGGACCCTAGTTCCAATAGGACCGGGAGGCAGCAGGAGTGACAGCCCGTGACGGCCCCCACGCGGCACTCACAGGTTAGATTACCTCGGACCTGGACTTGGGAAGATAAATCTCCCACTTACCCTGTAGTCAGTGATAAGCCCTGCAAAGGAGAAAGAAAGAAAAAAGGAACCGTTAGACACATTGGTCGATTACCTGCTTCATTCTTTTCCATCATCTCTTGAACCAGACCAAAGACCACTGAGGGCAGGGGCTGGGTGTTCATTGAGATGATCCCCAAGGTATCAGATTCAAGGGGGGTTCCAGAGAGCAAAGCACAAGAGGAAATGCTGAATTAGGAGTGGATCCCCACTCATTTCACTTTTTGCAGTTTGACAAGCAGGGAAATCTGAGATTTCTTCTGTGCCCTGGGGTAAATTGGCATTCAAATTCTGTGAAGTCTTCATCATCCATTCATTCTTGTGTGGGAAGGTGAATTTGTGATATAGAAGTGATTTGAATGTAAAGAAATCAAACTTTTGATGGGACTTTATCTCCGTGTTCTCATTTCTTAGTCCGGATTCTGGAGCTGAGTAAATGCCCAGTGACTGTCTTCTGGGTCGGCTTCATTATCTGGGATTCAGAGGTCTTCACAGGGGTTATGAACAAGGCCTGGTTCGTATTTAGGTCTCCTCTTGTGCCAAAAGCAGTAAAGTCAAAGCTGGTGTATAGGGAAGAACACTGGATGAAGAGTCTCGCAGACGGGAGTCTCTACGTGGGAATCTTGGGCACAGAATCAGGTGGGAATTAGAAAGCTGTGTGTTGGAATCTGACCCTCCAGTGTCGTCCCAGCTGTCCACCTGCCACAATCCTCCACCCACCCTGGTAAAATGTGCTTGGCCTACCGGGCGCACGGGTCTGCCTTACATTTACAGGAAAATCTAAAATCGCAGCTTGTTAGGACTCCCCAGCTGACAGCTGGAGAGACCAGATCGACTAGGATCATACCAGTTAGGATCATAGTACAGTTATATGCAGGGCCATTTTGCAGGGCTCAACCTCCTCATTTCATCTGGTACCCCGAGCAGAAGCCACAAGTCACGCAATTTAAGTCAACTCCCAAATGATGTCTTTCTTCTCTTTATGCCCCCTGCAACAGACTCATTAACAAACACCAACAGCAGTCATCAGAGGTAACAGCACCCATGAGTGTACTTGGCAGGTACTAAACACCCAGTAAGAAGGCGATGTTGTAAAGGAGGATGAATGAAACACCTCCAAGTTCAGGTGACTGCCCCCTCCTGATAGTCACTAGTCAGTTACACTGAATTACAATTCAGAAAACTAAAACGACTGTGCAGTCACACCAGCCACATTGCCAGTGCTCAAAAGCCACCTGTGGCTAGTGTCTGCCACATAGGACAACACAGAATTACAGGACACATCCTTCATTGCAGGAAATTCTAGTGCATTGTGTGACAGAAGCTTCAAAGAAGAGGAGTCAGATGCAGAAGGCTCTATAGCTGAACAACGTGGTTAAAGATGGAGTCTGTGTCTCAAAGAACCTGCTTCCCCGAGGACTGGCTGAAGACCTGGTCCAGTTAGGTGCTGGCCTGTACAAGTGTTTCCTGTTAACATAAAGAATGCTAAAGCCCTCTCCAGCAGCAAGTCCTAATGATGATGGTGTTACTTAAACTGTGGACTACTTACTACATCCTATATCCCTTAGTTCAGTTCAGTCACTGAGTTATGTCCAACTCCTTGCAACCCCATGGACTGCAGCATGCCAGGCTTCCCTGTTCATCACCAACTCCCAGAGTTTACTCAAGCTCATGTCCATCTAGTTGGTGATGCCATCCAACCATCGCATCGTCTGTCATCCCCTTCTCCTCCCACCTTCAATCCCTCCCAGCATCAGGGTCTTTTCTAATGAGTCAGTTTTTTGCATCAGGTGGCTAAATTATTGGAGTTTCAGCATCAGTCCTTCCAATGAATATTCAGGACTGATTTCCTTTAGGATGGACTGGTTGGAACTCCTTGCAGTCTAAGGGACTCTCAAGAGTCTTCTCCAACACCACAGTTCAAGAGCATCAATTCTTTGGCACTCAGCTTTCTTTATGGTCCCACTCTCACATCCATACATGACTACTGGAAAAACCATAGCCTTGACTAGATGGACCTTTGTTGGCAAAGGAATGTCTCTGCTTTTTAATATGCTATCTAGGTTGGTCATAACTTTTCTTCCAAGGAGCAATCATCTTTTAATTTCATGGCTGCAGTCACCATTTGCAGTGATTTTGGAGCCTCCCAAAATAAAGTCTGTCACCATTTTCATTGTTTCCCCATCTATTTGCCATGAAGTGATGGGACCAGATGCCATGATCTTAGTTTTCTGAATGTTGAGTTTTAAGCCAGCTTTTTCACTTTCCTCTTTCACTTTCATCAAGAGGCTCTTTAGTTCTTTGCTTTCTGCCATAAGGATGGTGTCATCTGCATATCTGAGGTTATTGATACTTCTCCCGGCAATCTTGATTCCAGCTTGTGCTTCACTGAGCCCAGCATTTGTCATGATGTACTCTGCATATAAGTTAAATAAGCAGGGTGACAATATACAGCCTTGACGTACTCATTTCCTGATTAGGAACCAGTCTGTTGTTCCATGTCCAGTTCTAACTGTTGCTTTTTGACCTGCATACAGAGTTCTCAAGAGGCAGGTCAGGTGGTCTGGTATTCCTATCTCTTTCAGAATTTTCCACAGTTTATTGTGATCCACACAGTCAAAGGCTTTGGCATAGTCAGTAAAGCAGAAATAGATGTTTTTCTGGAACTCTCTTGCTTTTTCAATGATCCAACAGATGTTGGCAATTTCCTCTCTGGTTCCTCTGCCTTTTCTAAATCCAGCTTGAACATCTAGAAGTTCACAGTTCATGTACTGTTGAAGCCTGGCTTGGAGAATTTTGAACATTACTTTGCTAGCATGTGAGATGAGTGCAGTTGTGCGGTAGTTTGAGCATTCTTTGGCAGTGCCTTTCCTAGTATGTCTTTAAACTATGTAAGACATAACTGGGGTGAGCAGCTTCTAAATCTGCATATAGTAAAAACAATAAAACCAAACAATGCATATAAGAAGACTGGTGAGAAACACAGCCACATATTAACGGGATCAACATCTGGGTGGAGGGTTAAGTTCAGGGTTATGTTTCTGGCCTACCTCTTTTCTATTGTCCGGATGTACAGTTTTTATAATGAAAGAATTCATTGGAAAAGTCTATATACCAGGTATGACTACCATTTTCCTATTATCTGTTTTGTGACAGAAATTTCTGACATCAAAGTAAAAACCCCATGTTTTCGGTCGCTGTCTGGCACAAGTCCAGTGGAACAGTGTCTACGAAAGTGAGATGCAGACGGGAACACGTGGGGGCCACTGTCACCCCCAGTGCTGCTGCCAGGGCCTGGCCGGCCAGAGGAGCTGCAGGGCGAGACCCCCGCTCCAGGGGTCTTTGCTTCCAGTGACAGACAAGTGACCAGTGAAGGAGCCGTGGGGAGAGGCGAGCGGCAGGGGCTGGCTCACAGGGAGAGGTCTGGGAGGACCCCTGCCCGGCTAGACATTTGTCCCAGACCCAAGTGGCGGGGGAGGAGGCCCCAGGACCCAAGGAGGGACGTGGCCACAGCCTCGGGGGCTGCCGTGTGAGGTGAAGAGCAGGGCCACATGCGCAGTCCTGAGCGGTCTTGTTTTTGCAGTTAAGTGATGAAGAGATTTCTTTTTTGAGTAGAAAGGCTCTTAAAGAAACACTATAAACATATTTCGCTTAAAATTACAGAAGGCTTAGCAGGAGAGTGATATACTGTATCAGATAAAATAAACCCTTACATCCACTAGCCATAGAAGATTAAAGCTGATTTTGGGTGGTTTACCTGCTAGATACAAAATAGGTCATTGCTTTTGTTGATTCATACTTTTTTAGGGAAAAAAATACAAATAACTAAGATTGTTCATCTCTAACAGCCATAGCTGTTTTTTCAGTCAGAAGCTGCCTTTCCTTAAACATAGAATAAAATTACTTTAAAGAAATCCCTGGAGTAATAAACTTTACTCAGTTGCCTTTGGCTTAAACTCTTTCTGTGGCTTGTAGGATTTTGGTTTCCTGACCAGGGATTGAACCCAGGGCTCTGGCAGTGAAAGCACTGGGTCCTCACCACTGGACCACCAGGGGATTCCTGAGAATTCCTTCATTGTTGAAGAGCCACATTTTGCAAGGTGTCATGACTACTGAGGTTTTCATCATTCAAACATGAAATCCACCTTTAAATAGAAGAGCTTTGACAGTTGGTTCATAATTCCTCATGGCTTCATGCCAGTGCCATTACAGAAACTAGAGATTATTTTTCAGAGCAGTTTTAAGTTCTGAGCAAACCTGATCTGAGGGTGAGAGCTGGCATCTGATGTGCTCCATGAGATGGTGGGGAATGTTAGGAAGGTGGACGCAGGTCTGATCTTCCCATGGAGACAGCACAGGCTGGGGTCTGGGCAGGAGGGAACAGGCTGCGCCCTGACTTGCGTCCCTGCTGCTCCATGCTCCTGCCACTGTCACCAAAACTGCCTCAATTTCCAACCCGTCCGTCCCTCCTGTCCATGTGGAGGGTGGGGTCGAGTGACCCCTGATGTCCCTCCCATTATCACGTCCTCTGTCATCCAAGGAAACTTGAGGAGAAGGGGCACGATTTCCCAAGACTCGGCCTGTCCTTCCTTCCCTGGGGCTCACAGTGGTCAGCATGGCACCAGCTGGGGACTATGCAGGTTTGGGGGATGAGAGAGCCCCCTCCCACCTGCAGGCCGAGTCTTGTGGGGACAGACACGCGAGTATTAATAAATAACCTCCCCAGAACGCGTATGACTATAAACGGACACAGAGGCGCAGGGCGTCTGTGCAGGTAGCCTCATGCATTTTATCTTATCTGGATCTCAAGCAATCCTAATTTCTCTTAACTGAGAGACTTAATGTTTAGAGCTCACATTCGTGAGTCGACCCTGCCCTAACCTCTCCCATCTCCTCCTCTCTGGCCCCTGGCCCACCACCTTCCTTTCCTTTCCTCCCCTGGTGTTATCAGCCTGCTGTTCAGTCACTAAGTTCTTTGACTCTGCGACTTCACAGACTGCAGCACGCCAGGCTTCCCAGTCCTTCACCACCTCCCAGAGTTGGCTCAAACTTGTGTCCAGTCGTCCTGGCCCTGCCCTGGGCCCCCAGGACTGTGGCTGTGACGCTCCACCTTGGCTCCTGGACAGTGGATGCGGCCGTGATGGGAACAGTCTGGAGGGAGCTGGGCGTAGCTCACCTGAGTCCTGGTGGCTGTGCCTCAGGTAGACCGGGTCCAGCCTGAAGGCTCCGGTCAGGTCTGTCCTCTTTTTCACCCTGGTTTGAGACAATAAACAGAGGACGTAATGAGGAGGCATCTCAGGTGTGTCTGCAGGGTCCTCTCCTCCTGCTGCTTCTCCTGCCCAGCTCAGCTGGGGCTACTGGTCCTTGAAACCCTTCCTAACACCCCCACTCAGCACGGGCATGCCCCTTCCCTAGCCTGCAGCACAACATTAACCTCCAGAGCCCTGGGCCCCTGCAGTGGGGGAGGCATGGTATAATAAAAAAATAAGTATTTGGCCTTTGTCCCTGGTTCCAGCACCCAGTTCCTGAAACCCTTGGGACAACGGCTGGATGGGATGAAGCCTGGGCAATTGGCTGGCTTCAGGGTCCAAGCTGGCTGCCAGGAAACTAAGTCCTGATTGAAGGGGCAGAAGTGTGAATCCTGCCCCCTGATCTCCGAGAAAGGACTTGAGCTAGATCATCACCAACTGCCAGCGATTTAATCAGTCATACCTGTACAAGGAAGCTTCCTTAAACCCCTAGACGATGGGGTGCAGAGAGCTTTGGGGCAGCTGAACCACATGGGCAGGCTGGGAGGGACCCACGCCAGGCAGGTAAGGGTCTCTGTGCCCCCCAGTCCCACCCCTGCCTCGCCCTAGCATCTCTTCCACTGGCCATTCATTCGGGTCCTTATAATACACCAGTAAATATAAATGAGTTGTTCTAGCCAACTGTCAGGCCTGAAGGAGCAGTGGAAGGAGCTGTAGGAACCTCCAACTTTACAGCCGAGGTTGATGCAAGTGCGGTTCTTTTGGACCCGGGCTGTGAGACTTCTTGCCGGGGCTGTGCTTACACCGGTGTCAGAGCCGCACCGGGTTCGGGGGCATCCCGCTGGTTCTGGAGAGCAGGGGGACGGGGGCTGGAAGAGGAACACAGCAGGTTGGAGTTCGTCCCTCTCTGTCTTTCCAGGCCTGGCACAGCCCTGGCCCTTAACGGGCATCACAGGCAGGTGTAGGATGAACAGGGACTGTCAGGCAGGAGGCGCTGCCTGCACCATCCCAGACCAGCCCTTCATGCCTCTGGGCACCTCAAAGCAATTGTGTGCAAATGCAGTCCTGGAGGCAAACTAGAGAAAGAGCCAAGTCTGATGGCACTGAGGCTGGAAGCGAATGAGAGTCCCCGGAAGGTGAAACCCAGGGGGCATGAAGTAGGAAGCCAGGATGCAGCTCACAGAGGAGGATCAGGGAGCAAGGGGCTCGAGCTGACTTGAAGTGACTGCTTCAAAGGCTTAGAAGACAGTGAATTCCAGTAGCGTGAGCTTGTGCGCCATGTTGCATCCTGCAACATCCTGAGACCAAAGTCTTTGTCCCCTTCCCAGAAGCAGCAGAGAGGCTGGGAAGGGCAGGAAGGGAAACTGGAGACATGAAATTGACAGCCAGGGTATGCGATCTGAGATTATGGAGATGAGAATTTCTTCCGCCCAGATAGAATCATGTTTATTTTTTCAGCTGTACCTTTTATCATCATTCACTATCCTACTCCCTCAATTTTCATGAAGTTGAAAATGGTTGCAATTTATCTTTTTCCAAGAGACCATGTTTTTAAAAAGTGTCTTTTGCAGAGTGAAGAAAAAGAAACCTAAAACAAAAAACTGCAGTGAGCAGTCTTAAGCTGTTTGGGGCTGACCTGGAGGAGAACCCGAAGCAGGGGCTACGTGTGCGTAGTGTGTACATGGACCAGGCTGCACCCCTGGCTTTGGGGGACCATTTCCTCCAGCCTCTCCATGCTGGGGAAGGTCATGCCGAGCCATAGAGAGACAGGAGAGAAAGGGGATAGAAACAGCATCGCTCTCAGCAGACCTCTGCCCTTTGTATGTAAAGTCACACTGCCCTCTCCACAGACACTGGCAATGATTTTGTAGCTGCTTTTTTTAAGTTAAAAATACTATATGCCGTGTTACAGCGATGCAGAAGGGCATAAATAATAACATATCCACCTCATCACGTGTGAAGCAAAAGTTGCCCACAGGTTAGGTCTCCCCTACACGACCCTCCCCTCGCCGCCAGCCCCTCAGGAGGCCATGAGGCAGCATCGGGGGGTTATCACGCCATTGGGTTCTACAGAATTTTCTGTGCAAACCACTAAGTAATCTAGGCATTGTGTCACACATTTCCAAGTGAAACACAATGTAAGCACAAGTTGTTTAAACTTAAACGGTGGCTTTCTCTGTGTAATTTTTAGAATTTGCTTTTTCTCTTAAAACGACACCTGTGAGCTTCTGACCTGGTCATCAACAAGGTGCTTGCTCACTTGTCCACTTTGACCAGCTCCCCGCAGGGCGCTGCAGCAGTGGGTCCCAATGTCTGCCTGCTCTTACTGTGCTCCACGTGCCCTTGGACGAAGGACACTGTGTGGGTGCTCCCGGCGTGTCGGGGGCAAGCTGGGGACACCGGCCTAGTCGTGGGCCAGCAGGAAAGGCGCAGTGCCCGCAGCCTCGTGGGGCAGAGCCAAGTGCTCCTAAAGGCCCGGCAGCCCACGCGCTCCTGATGATCCGCATCCCGGCCGACATCTAGCCAGGGAGACAATTTCCCACCATTGGCAGTGCTTCCTACTCCTTAACGTGCATTTCTAATCACTAACAAAGCTGAGTAACTTTGCCTCTATGAAGTGGCCACTCCCATTTCCTCTTTGGTGAGGACACGTTTGTTCATTTATTTATTAGGCTGTGTGCCTCTGTGTGGTAGACAGGATCGTAAAAATACAGTAAATATTAGGAATGCGGATCCAAAGCGTTGTCTGTGGGCTCCCTCTGACCTCTGCCTGGCTGTGTCCCTACAACAAGTGTGACTCAGTCATTGTGGGATGGGGCGTGGTCCTCACCAGACTTGTCTTCACGCTTCTCTTGGCCGTCCTGGGCCTCTGCACTATTCAGCTCCACTTTCTTGAGTCCTACAGAAATAGCCAGCCAGAATACTTCCTAGAATTGCCCTGAGACCTGGCATTGAGTCCACATCTCCATTTAGTTAGGTTTCCTGGAATGACTTCCAAAAAACTGTGTCCTTTTCTTCATAAAAATCTACACAGATTGCAACCTATTTATTCACAATAACTTTTCTTGCTATTATAAAAATATTTTCTAAAAATTTTGACAGCAAACAGTAAAATTCTGTAAAGCAATTATCCTTTAATAAAAAATAATTTTAGAAAAGACATAGAAAAAATTTTACACATACTGTTTATCATCCATGTAAATAAATGTAACCTTGAAAGTACGGTGTATCTAGAAATCTTGCTGTGTTCTCTCATTATTACCTTCTTAGAAGATTCTGTTTTCACACAGACACTCACACCATCTGAGAACCATGAGTTCTGTGGCTTGCACGGTAATCCTTGCACCATCACCTCTGTTGTGTCCAACTGTGCAGGTTAGGAATGCACAGAGCAGCCAAGAGTGGGCATTATGGCAGTTGTGATTTTCTTTCTTTAAAGGCACTGCTTCTAATATTTTACCACCAAGAATATGTTTGCTGTAGTTTTTCTCGTAGATTTTCTTTTTTTATCGGATTAAGAAAGTTCTCTTCAGTTCCTCTTTTCTAAGAGCTTTTGTTCTGTGTGTTTTCGAATTTTTATCTACTGCTTTTTCCATATTTAATGTGACAATAACTTTTTTCCTCCTTTACTGTTAAACATGATCAACGACATTTAAAAATCTGATATTTTTAAACCACCCTGGGATATCCAGAATGCACACATTTTGGTTATGATATACCAGCTTTTGTTTTCCTTTAAACATCATTGAATTTTGTTTGCCAAAAATTGACTTAGAATTTCCATATGTGATTTTATGAGCTTGTCCTGCAGCTTTTCTTTTTCAGCTTCTCATGTTTTTTTCAGAGACTTTCCGATGTAGACCATTTTAAAGTCTTTATTGAATTTGTTACAATATTGCCTCTGTTTTATGTTTTGGTTTTTTGGTATGCAGATCCTAGGTCCCCAACCAGGAATCAAATCTGCACCCCCCACATGGGTCATCTACTATGATAAAAGCATGAGAAAGAACATCAAGAAAAGGAGAAGAGATGGAGAAATTGGAAAACATGAAATAAATGAAATGGGATCACTGAATGTGAAATAGAAAAAGTGAAACAAGCTAGACAAAAGATCATCAAATTGTCCAGTTGTTTTAAAACATGGCTGCTCATTAGAAACATATCTGGAGTTTTGGAGAAAATTTTAAAATCCAGATGCATAGCAGAATTATCTTGGAATTTTTTGAAAAATACAAATGCCCGGGTATTGTTTTTTTTTTCTTGGAAGGCTGTCTTAGCCACTGAACCACCAGGGAAATCCTTTTATCTGGTTTTGGAAACAAAGTGACACTAACTTTATGATAAGTCTATGAATTACGTTTATAATTATACCTGTAGATGCCTTGACAGTTTGGTAGGACTTGCTGTTAGAAGAACTGAATGTTTCTGTGGTATAAACTGTACCTACTGACACATTTTCCTTAGGGCCATGAGGTGTTTCGGATTTCCTATTATTCTGATAACAGGTTTTTTGGAGTTGTTGCATGTGCACATTTGCAGGCAATTCTGGCATGCTGTTGCTCACAGTGCTCCCTATTGTTTAAAACCCTGCTCTGTCTGTGGTGTGTCCTTCTTGTGTTTCCAGCACGGCTGACTGTGCCCTTTCCTCTATCCTGGCCCCTCTTTCTGCAGATCACCCATTTTATGAGGCAAATCGAGGACCAGCACATGGCTGTCGGCCTCGGCTCCTGCTGCCTCATTTCCTGTTTCATGAACATCTCTTCACCTTCAGTACTTCCCTCCCTCCAGTTTGGGGGTGTTTACTCTGAGGCCGTCTTCTGCTTCCTTTGGGCTCTCATTCGTTACTTCTTGGCTCTTGTCTTTTCTGTTTAAATATTCTCCAAGCCCTGCTCCACTGTGGGCCACGAGTTCTGTCGCATCTTCATATTCATGCAGGTCTTGGGATTTCCAACGAACTGTTTCCCTTTGTCCATTGGCCCGTGGCTCCAATGGTCTGTGGGGGTC